AAAGGCACTGTACAGACTATTCTTTATCTTTATCTTTATCGTTAAACTATTGTTCTACCCTGGCTATTGTCCTACCCACACTATTGTCCTACCCCGATGGTTACTTGGCTACTTAATGGTTACTTTATATCATTTCCTCCACGTTGAATTATTCCCATTGCTATCTGAAATTAAGAATAAAGATTAAATTGCAGGTAGTGTATTGACATAATTAAATATTATATTATTCTTGAAGAAGCGTTTCTTCGAGCTTCTTCAACATGGAAAAATTACAGTAAGCAACCACTTAATTTTATTGATTTTTCAAATTCGACGGAATTTACAGGGTCGATATGGAACTAAAGTTTCTCGTCCAATTTACATGTTATTTTACTTTAGATTGTTTATAAATAAAGAATCCCCCACCAATGCTATGATATATTTAAAATTTTGTTTGTATAAGCCAATGCCGATTACCTGCTACGATTACTTATCTTTATCCATTGAATTGAGTCTATCAACTTTCAAGGATGGAAGAACTATCACGGATTCACCGTTCCTATTTAAAATACTTAAAATACTGAACGGTCTAGTTAATTGTTCTCATATTTTAGGCTTAATTAAACTTTAACATTCCTAGCAGACCTCTCAGATATTTTCTACCTCTCTATATTGGATAGCATCGCATATTTTACAGTTGGTGGAAACCACCAAATCGTTTCTCTTTGTTTGCTAATCTTAACGATAATATTGATCTTCATTACATGTCGTTGCCCTCTTTTAAAAGCGCTATCATTAGTCACGTAAATTTAAGCTTCTCGCGATGTGTTTTTTCTTTTTATTTCTTTTATTATATATGTCATGCAGTTTGCTTCGGCAATTGAAATACAAGATGATTTATCTTCCTTTTTCTTTTTATATTTTTTCTTATGCTGTTTGGTTTCTACTCTCATATATATTTTTTATATCTTCCTTGTCATACTTTATGTATTAGCCTTGTGCCAAAGGGACGAGTCCCCGCAAATAAAGTTTAATAATGACAATAACTTTATAGAAAAAAAGCGTCAGAATCTCGCGAGACGTATTTGCGATGAGACTTTGTAGCAGTTAAAATCATTGTGCGTAAATATCGTTCGTTCTTTTACGAGCTCGAGTTAACGAGTACGCCAGCTCATTTGCTATGTCGTTTGTCGCATGCCAGAAGTTCAGGTGCACGTGGCTTCGCTACGTCGGTGACATGCGGCAACGAGGAAAGAAAACGTCTATCTCGGAAAAGCCGTTTAAAGGGCTTCTTGCTCGTACAGAACGTAACGGAGATAATTATCCACTCCCCCTCCCCCCCTCCTTTTCTCTCTCACTCGCTCTTTCTCTCTCTCGGGTTCGCGAAAGTGCCGTGCATGGACAGAGCGACGGGTTTGGGGGCTTATCGATCTCGTGCCGCGTTGCAGAAATAACTTTCGGACGGGAGCGAAGGAAACGTGTAGTTCGTTAAACGATTCTCTAGAGCGAGGCGCGACGGGCGAAATCCGAATACGTGTCCGTCGGTTCTTTACGTATTAAGTCGCGTCCATACGGCCATTCCGATATCTCGTTTACCGTCGCCGCCACGAACAAATATCCATATTCTCGTTCAAGCGAATTTTGCTTGAACGGCTTTTAATTCGTCCGTAAAATGAAGTTCTTACCCCGACGACGATGCGTCGAAGGTAAAATTTGTCAAAAAGGCGGGGAAAAATTCGCCGAAGGGAAATCTACGCGTGAAATCCGGAATCTCCATAATTCCGTGTAATTGCGCAATTTCGCTGGCACTTTTGGCGGCTCCCTGCGCGGTGACAGCGCGATATTATCGGACGATATCGCCCGTGGAAAAACGCGACTCCGGACTGGCCGGCTGCGCGAATAATGGACGCAGCGAGGGACGAGAGATGACCGACGAGATGTTGCCGGTCGGCTGCTGGACTGACGCGCCGGCTTGCCCATAACAGAATATTGGCACTCGCGGAGTGGAGCCGAATAACCGATAATAATAAGTACCTGCCACTCACACGGCTGGCCGACCGTCATCCATCTCGCGCCCAGAAAAGCCCGCTTGTCTGCGATTTGCGGCCGATTGCTCGTATGAACTTCCGGATCTCCGAAACCCGACAGACAGATCGTCCCTCTCGCGAAGCGGTCGCTCCTCCTTTCCCAGAGGGTTTCGGCAGTTCCCCCGTTGCCTAACTCCTCGGTATTTCCGGATGCCGGCGGCCGCCGGTCTCCTCTGGAAACGGATTCCATCCGTCGGCGGATTAGAGGGAGATCCTTTTTCCGTGAATAAACGACAACGTCCGATTGTCGCGGCTTTTTTGCGATTTCAAACGCGCGAGTTGGTTTTCTCTCTCTCTTTCTCTCCATTCGGCCGGATTCACTTCCGCCGGTCGAAAGATACATATGTACACGTGGGAACGTCGCGACGCGTTACATAAGCGGATAAGTGGAAAATGGTGCGCCCGGACAGCGAATCGGTGAGAAACGCCGTTGCACGTGTGCGACGGCGTCGCGACGCTCGTATCGCCCGTTGCTCTTCCATCCGGATGCAACGCGACGTTCGTGATTTTTCTGTGTAAGACGCGACGGAAGAGCCAGTCGGCGAGAAATCACCATCCACCGTGTATCACTGAATACGCTCGGAATTGCGAGCGAAGGTGTGCACACAAAATTGCACTTGATACTCGAGAATTATTGATACTCGGGTTATACGGGGTTCCTTTTTGTCGCGCTGAGAAATCAATTTGGTTGCAACCGGAAAATCGGTAATTAAACGCGATTCGGTTGAAGTAAACAAAATTTCTGATTATGGGAACCACATTTATTTCTTTATGAATATGCATGCTCTTTTAAATCGATCACAGTTTCGCGAGAGCGGTTTATTTAAATGTATAGTTTTAAAGGCTCGGGAAGAAGCTGGTTTTTTTTCAGTTCTTTCCGTGAAAAATGGAAAAACCCGTTTTTTGTCCATTTTCCACGGATTTTTTTTCCATTTCTTTCCATGGAAAAAATTAAAGAAACGTTTTTTTTTATTATATTTAGATATTTAGGTGACTATTATAGAAACAGCGAGGAAATGGTTCTTGGTTTTAGTTTTAAAGGTTCGGAATAATCAGTTTTTTTCTTTTTCGGGGATGAATGAAAAAAATGGGAGAAACCTGATTTTTCAATTTTTTCCATAGATTTTTGCATGGTTTCTTTCCGAAGAAAAATTGAAAAAAAAACGGGGTTTTTAGACTATATTCTTGATAAAGCTATTTTGTTAAATTTTTTAATTTAATGAATTAACATTTACATCTTTTTCTATTACAGTACATAGCATATTTATATCTATAATGGGAGTTTAATGATAAAATTATATCTTTCGAGTAAAGCCGATCGGCGGCCCGCGCGACTGTTGCGGGCTCGTGTCGACGAAATCTCACCTCCCGGCGGAAAGGCTCGCACTACTCGACGATTTATCGGGGGATCCGGGAAAAGTCGGGGATCTCAAGAATCGCGACGATAATTGGCGGCAGCCGTCGCGTGCCACCTGCAAAAATATCAAAATGCAAAGAGGGTTCGACATCGCGTAATGCGATTCTTACGACTGTCATAAATCTTCCGGCACGAAAATTGGCACCGATAACGGCACGTAAAGCTCTGGCCCGCTCGTAAAAACCATGAATCAAATATCTATTTCGCGCAAAAGCAAACGGAGAAAATTATGTGCTGTTGTTGCGATCGCGGGGGAAGCGATGGTGGTTCCGCGAGAAATTTAGCGCGGTGTCTTTCGGCGAAAATATCGCCGAGTGCTGCAACCGCCGCGGAGATCGTTGAAACGCGCGATTTTTCGCTCCAGGTGTCCCCGAAGGGAGCGATTCGCGCGAAAGCACATTGGAAATTAATTCGAAATTAATCGTTATTTATTTACCTTATCGTGGAACGCGGCTAATTAAGCCGGCTCCACATGATACGGCAAATGTAGACGAACGTTGATAATTATATTGATCACATTTATCGAGTGAATGTAACCATACATGATAATACAACCAATATAACATAATATGATACAAACATAATATAACATAAATAACATAATATACGCGTTCAATATAATTTCTGACGTTCGCCTGATATTTGCCACATCGTGTGGAGCCGGCTTTATCCGAATTATCCGGACCGCTCGGATATGTGTGTCGCGGTGACATTCGAATTTTCGCACGCTCGAGTTCGTTCGCGAATCCGTCCGCGCAGTTTTCGATAGGGGGGAGGGGGAGGGGGGGAATGGAATTACATATTCCAGGCGACGTAAGCGAGTACCCGCGGTTTATCGCGCCTTCAATCAGTATCGTTCGAATATATCGCGCACGAGCGCAAAAACGATCGTAAGTTTTCGCGATAACCCGCAATTACCTGTCCATAATTCACGAGCCGACGTCTTTCGTGCTCTTTGCCTATGCTTTATTCACTCCGGCCATTGCGCCGTTGTAATAAATTACAAATCCGGCTTCGCGGCCGCGATCAACCGCGCAATTAGGCTCGTTGAATTTCAATGCTCCTGTTAACGGGCCGCGCGTTGGAGTGTCGTGAATTCCCAATTTTTAATATCCCACGACGATAACGTCGTCCTTTTTTAACATCGTGAACGTTGGAGAGAGAAATATAAAAATATTAATATAAACATGCGCATTTTTATCAATTAACGTTTCGCGCTTGACGTTGATTGCGTATACACTCATGAGGGGAATTACATGCGCGTGCACGCGTATAAATTTATTAAACACGTCCGCTCTGTGTGGCCGAAAAACGTTTTGCCGAATAATACGTGAAAATGTATCGTGGGGAAACTTGATTCGTTGTGAACAACTTCCGAGGGCAACCTTCGGATGATGAGTTTTATAGGGATAATATAACGTCGAACTTTGACCGAGTGTGCGAGAAGTATTATTTACCGACACTACAAAAGCGATCCGATTGCGTTTCTATGATGGGCCGTCCTCCTTTTATTGCAGCGCGAAAACTGAAGGGTCTGGGGCGCGCGAAGGCGAGAAGAAATGAGGTGGACGTGACACAATGACATGATGAAGAGCCTGGTGGGGATCATGTGGATAGTGTTGGTGCTCATATCAGGTACGTACGATCAATCTAGGAATCGCATGTCCTCGGCCCATGATACTAATCACCGAAAAATTTCGCCTTATCGCTCTCGGGATCGCGTGACCCCTACCATTCGCACGAAACTCTAATCATCCCCCCGTTAATCTAGTTATCCTTTTTCCGATCCAAACAAGAACTTCTCCGCGACTTCTCCGCGTGAGTTGTACGATTGGCGAAACGCGGACCCGAATTCCCAAACACGCTAACTTCGGAAGTCACAAGTCCCCGAGGAGGGTGGAAAGACACTTCTGGCTCGGTTCTTAATTTTCACCATCGATTCGCCGCTTCTTAGCGAACGCTCGCTGCAATTCGGACATGCATTTTTCAATATTGTCGTACTTTTAAAAATAGCACCTTCATAGATTTATGTCCCTTCTGTTCGACTCTACTTGTATATTCAACGGAAACATTCTTTTATCAGTGTTTCTCCCACGAGGGAATAGAAATTCGCACCCGTACATACACACACGTACACCAGATATAAGGGGAAAAATGCAACAACGAATATTATTCTCGCGTGCGTACGCGAGAGTATACACGAGACGCGTGTGGACATGGAATCTACTGCTTGGAAGGCTCGTAAACCGTTTTCAGTGTCCCAAGGGTGTGTTTGCGGGCTCGATGTTGCTATAATCTCACACGAACGCGAACGACGTTACATGCGTTCGCATTATCATGCATACGGCCGGTCTACGAGATGCGTAAGCACACCTTGGACGTAGCTGGCCGTTTACGATCGCACTTTCGCGCGTTGTTCTTATACATCGCGGGATTACGCCGCCAGATGCACTCGCGACTGTAAAACACTTTCGTCTGTTTTTCAGCGGAGAAACGTGCGCACGGCCGAACGAGACAAACAACGCGATTACGCAGAACTAAAGCTAAAGCCCAGTTCTCGTTAGAGTTGAATTAAGCATGCATCACTCATATCTCAAAATAATGAAAAAGTTACAAATTGATCTGCATTGCATTTAAAAACGACACTAAACGTCTAACAGTAATTCAAGGCCAAAGGTTTTGTTTAAAGAAAGTTGTACGATGAAATAAGTTTGATAAGAATTTTATGAAACTGCGTATACACTGAAATATTATGTAACTGTTCCGTGTAATTAAAAAAAGGATTGACCGTTCGAAAGCTGAGATATTTGTTACTAGAGTTGACACTTTTTATACTTTGAGATTAGCTTTCATTACTTCTAATTTTTATTTCTAATATTTTCTTAATCAAAAATAAGATTTTAATGGAAAACTACTATTGAAGACTAAAATAATACATTATAGAATAGAATAGAATCAACTTCATCGGTGGTCCATATTGGATTTTCCGTTCAGGCCGCATCGCGCATATGTTTTACGTTATTTCTTCTTCATAATAATGATTTTTGTAGTTTTATAAATATTACAAAATATATTGCTTGCGTTTGTATTTGTATATTTGTTAATTTGGTCTTCCATTCTCTTGTCTTTCTGTGCAAACGTGTTTTTCGTTCTTCTAATCTTGGATTTTTTGGGGGATCCTATGTATTAATTCGTATTAAAAAGGATTTTTTGCCATTGAGAATAAAATAAAATGAAATGAAAAAATATATCTTATAATATACGCAGTAACGTAGACCATCGATGACCCACGCGGCGTGAGTGGAAAATTCACGTGAAATTGGCGCGGCACTCAACGTGTTAATATATGATAAAGATATATATAAATTTCAGGACCAGAAACCATTTATAGATCATTTTGTTTATGAAAATACAACGGTGTAAAGTTCATAACTTATAATAATATTCGAAATACATACACATATGCATATATTTAAACGCTTCTATATTTCTTTTTATTATCTGTGCATCTCTATTAGATCATGATGCATAAATGTAACATTAATGAGAAAAATGAATAGTAATAATATTTTCGTATTTTTAATATTGTGCACATGTCTACCTCGACTTCGTTTGAAATTAACATTTATTATTTAGGTAGTGAAATGAATATATAGGAATGTAATTTTGCTTGATAAATATTAAATTGATGTGCTTTTTGATGCGCCACCGAGAATACGACACCTTAAAATCCCGTCCGAGCGGTCTGTGAAGCGGTCTCGCGACGAATTTGTATATGTAATTATCACATAATATAGTACATATTATTGTTAGAGTAGATATTATTCGGTTATACTTCCTAGAACACACGTTTCTTTTAACGTTTAATTATTTCCCACCCCGATACGTATTTTCCGAGACTTCGCGTAAGTCGGATGATACGTTTAGTCACTGTCGCGCGAAACATGCGTCGATAATCTTAAATTCTCCGTCGTGATTGTCGCATTTATGTCTTGCAAAATTTTAACACCGTCGAAGTCACGTTACTGTAAAAATAACGCTACGGCGGAGATTTATCGAGAATTTATGTTTGTAATATTGTAACATCTTTAACGCGTCAGGTTTGAAGCGTCACCGATATTCGAACATTATTCTTTCGAAAGTTAAGAGAAAGGGTTGGACACGGAATACACAGGAAATTCGGCCGAGAAAGGATCTCACTGTCGACTCTCTCACAAGCGACGTGAGCTCTTCGTCACACGGTTATTATTTTCCCCGGTCTGCCTTGAATCCAGTTTCCCGGCTACCTCTCGATATACGCGTCGGAAGAGCCCCGCTGGCTCAGTTTCAAAATTAAAATCACTGGCGGCGTCGCAGCGAGCACGCGTTCCTCGCCCCACGGGTGGTTCGTAAAACGGCGATAAAATGACGTGCGACCGTAATAAATAATATAACGGCGAGTCGAATTCATCGGCGACTTTATCGCGACGGCGAAGACACCGAGGTGAATTCGCGCCTTCGACGTGGCGCGAGAAAAAGACGTATCTCTAATCGCCGACCATTCGACGTTGAAAAATGGAATTCCCTCTCGGTCGACAGGGATGAATAAATCACGACTCGCATATTTTAATAAACGCGATTTAAGATGACGCAACGGAGGGAGGAGTGGAATCCGAGTTACTTCGGCGAGATGGCAAAAATTATTCGCGCCGTTCCGCTTCGTTTAATCTCAGAAGTGCGGCCGTCGCGGGTACGATCGTAGAATACGCAGTGAATGAAAACCATGGTCCGAATGGATTTCGAAATATTCAGTTAACTCGAGTTTCCTACTTTCTCCCCCTTCCACCTCATTCCTTTCTCCGCCCGGTCCGGTTACTTTTCCGAAGAGCGAGGAGAACAGAAGTGTCTACCCGACGAAGTCTCGGAAAATACGTATCGGGGTGGGAAATAATTAAACGTTAAAAGAAACGTGTGTGCTTGTGTGTGTGTGTGCGTGTGTCTGCTTCGTTGGAACGTGTGCTCTCGACACCTTCGGGCCGTTCCGATGCTCCGGCAGAAAATAGAGGGACGCTTTGCGGATCACACTTACAGCGCGCGGTCCGCGCACTTCCAGAATTAGCAATTGCAATTTGCAGCCGGTAGATTTTACGCGCGGGGGACGTGGCATTTTATCTTGAAATTGCAAATGAGAGGAGAAGCTGGTTCGAACGACGATAGTCGGCGTAACGTACGTACATCCAGTACCGTATCTCCTCCGGTCTATGTGCACTCTCTGTATAATGACGGCAACACTTTATGTACTGCCGTACGGCAAAGGGTTAAATATGCGCAAAGCGCGGAATCCAGCGGCACGCTCACACGGGCATGGATAATGGGGAAACTATGGGCCAGAATTACCGAGCCGTCCTGTTACGCGGATAAACCATCCGCGGCTGTCTCCCCTCCTTTGATATCTGCCTTCGGGTGAAATATTTCCCGCTTTTCCTCACTTCGCGCGTGAGCACGCCTTGTTTTCGCTTAGTTTATCGGCAACAAACCGACCGTCGCCGATATTAAACGTAAACTTTGCAGAACCAGCGAAAAAACTTGGTATATTCTCTTATAACAAAAGAAAAACTGAAAAAGAAATATATATATATGTGTGTGTATAAAAGAGAAAGTACACAGCACAGATTGAAGGGAGACATTATGGAAGTACACGTAATATAAATTTAATTGAAATCGCTTACAAACGTCGTAGTCGTGCCGCGTCGTTTACACGATGCACTCTGTAAATACACAAAGAACATCGTTTTAAATTAATCATGACAATATGTTTATTTTCATATTGTAACGGACGCGTATATACAGCGCGACGCAACGGCAATATTTATTTAATATAACCATAATTGAATATATCGTTTAATTTGCCTGTCATCGAATTAATTGCACGAGAGCGGTCGAGAGAGGCGCGCGCAAATAAACAGTCAATTGAGCGCGAATAGCTCATCTCTCAGGTGGCGATAAAACTTAGAACGCTCTTTCCCTGTGCCCGTAGGATGCTCAGGAAATCCAGACGCGAAGCGATTATACGACGACCTCTTGTCGAACTACAACAAGCTGGTTCGTCCAGTGGTCAACGTCACAGACGCCCTCACCGTTAAAATAAAGCTCAAGCTTTCGCAGCTCATCGACGTGGTAAGCAGTGACACCGTCGCGACATTGCTCGCGCGATGAAACGAGGAGAAAAGTATTACTATTGATATTATTATCGTTTAAAGACGTACCGTAGATTTTTGTTATACGTTTTATGTATCGTTTCCATAATGACAAATTTCACGATTAAACACAATTCGTGAGACTCCCCAAGTTGAGTTCAAATCGTCCCAATGTTGCGAATCTAATATAAGTATAGTTTTAAAGGCTCGGAAAACAACCCGGTTTTTCCCAACTTTTCCGCGGATTTCGCAGTTTCTTATCTTCTTTATGGACAGAAGTAAATGTGGCAGGTTTTAACCGACACACGCATACATTTTTTTATCCTCGGAACAGAAACCGAAAAAATCCACCGGGAAAAAAATAGGAAAAAATGGGGTTTCCCGAGCCCTCAAAACTGGAATAATAAACGAGCGAGTGGGAGTGCGTGACAGTTTTATTATGCTCTGATTAAAAAATCCTTTTCACGCGACCGATAAGAGCGCAAAAGGGAAAATACAGGTGTGATAACGTTGGAGTAAAAAGGAGGTCTTGTTTACATTTAGCGACGACGCACGCGAAAGAAATTGCACGTGCTCGTGGAAGAGATAACCGCGTTACTTCTACCACGTGTACCCGGCACCGCTCCGCCGAGTAGACTTGCTGCGAAATCTTACGAATTCTCGCACCTTAGTCACAATCGATGCCGTTGCACACGTGCGCGCAATTTACTTTTAATCAGGTCGAATAGCGCGTAGATGTATCGGCTCATAATCGAATATTGTGATGTATTTTCCGAGCAGGAGAGCGACGTAATCTCACGAAATTATTTTCTTGCAGAATTTGAAGAATCAGATCATGACGACGAACCTCTGGGTCGAACAGGTATATATAAAAATCCAATATAATAATCTATATAAATATATAAGATTTTAAGATTTTAAGATTATAATAAATATTTTAAGATTATTTTTTAAGAATCGCGAGACGTGTGAGAAAACCGAGGGTTATGAAATATTATAAAACTCATAATAATGGTTAATGTTGAATACACATCACGGGCAGGCAAGGTAACCTTTTAAGAAAAAGCACTGATTAAGTGCATCAATAACTGATAAACGTTCAAATTAACTGATGATATTCCATTGGTTACGGACGCGAACTGATTTAACGTCATTAGTTAATTGAGACATTCATCAGTTACCGATACAGCTGATCAGTACTTTTTCTTAAATGATCACCGACAGTTACTCATTCTTTTCTTCGTGTATCTTTTGACGATTTTCTCCATAAAATCCCGAGACAAGAGGTACAACGATAGAGAGAGAGAGAAAGAGAGAGAGAGATAGAGAGAGAGAGACTTGGGAATAAATTAAAAATTCACCGATAGATCGCCGATGGCCAATCGCCGTCGCGGAAAACAAATATCCGTACAGCCTCTCCTGGCGATGACGTGTGTCAGTTCGCATGTACGTGTGAGTAGATTTTGTACGCGGATGGACGCGGAAACGAGAAGATCGGACAGAAGCTCCCGGCCCGAAAGCCAGAAAATAACTCCGGTGAACCGTGCAACCCACTTTCAAATGCTGTGGATTACGTAAGATAGATTCACCATGTGCGCCATGACCGTTTTTCCGGTGGGATATACGACGGGCCACGAAATAGATTCATGTAATAAATACGCGATTCGCGACGGGGGAGAGAATCGGGTCGTTAGGAGCCAGATACTTGGATAACGCGATTACGCGTCGTCCCTTAATAAATCTCCTGTAGACCCTCGGTTGATGAAATTACGGCAGACAAGTCGGCGTCACTGACACGCGGCTGTCTGTTATAATCATTATTTAACTTGTTAGTTGTGCAACATTCAGGAGAGCCATGAGAAATGATACCTTGGGATCTCGCACACGTTGATGCGTTATTTCGCGTCCGTGTGATTCTTCTCGCGTTTTGGACAATTTCTCGTCGAGTCCCGCTTTTCGGATATTCATGCGCAGCCCCGGCGGCTCGGCGATTTATGTTGCGCCAGTGTCAATGAAACCGAACGATTGGGTCGAAATTTTCATGCTATTCCGACGTTAATTCGGGGCAATTTGCCTACTCAAACGGCTTATAGACTAGTAAAAACCTATTTCGACGATACTGACATTCTTGAACCTTTCTCTTGAACCCTTAATTCTACAGATTGAATTTCAGTACTGTTTTCAACAATCACTTGGACCCTAAAACAGTGAGAACGGAAATTTAAGACATCATCAGGGTCAAAGTACGCGTTATATTATATTGTTAAAATTAAAGACGTGAATCTATTTTGTTTTAGTTCCTGCTATGTTGCAAAATTAAAGGTTCAACACAGGGCCAAAATTTCGTCTCGAGCCGCGTTCGTACGAAGCGCACAAGTTAAATCTCGTAAATCATTAGGAGACTCCCGGCTGTATCTATCTTCTTCTATCAGGTTCGTCGTCCGACCAAGTCCCGTCGGTCGCCGTGGCGCCCGGAAGGACACCAAATATTGGCGTTACTCGATAAACTGCAGAGCACAACGATCGCGCATGCACATTTCGGAGATCCGAAAGCGAGAACGAGACCGCCGGCGCTGCATGCCGGGCGGAAAGTTCGCCGCACCTCGTCACGCATCAATGTTATCGCAAAGTTCGCGCACGAAAATGTTAATCCCGCCGCGATTTATCGACGGGATTAACGGTTCGTGCCGGCGCAACCGGGCCGAAAATGCCCGCATTGCGAGTAACTCGGATTTTACGGACTGACCGGGAACAGTTAATCCTCGACGGCGACACACACGGCGGAGTCTTCGGACGCGACATTGCAGCGATCGCTCCCTCGTGTTCTCCTCCTCGTAATAACGTTATTTTCACCGGCGCCGGCCTTCAATTCGCGCGATGAATAAAATAGCGATGAATCTGCCCGCGAACCGCATCCCATTATACCGCGCTAAGTTCAACGAGACGCTCGGTCGTTCAGCGACTGCGTTGAGCGGAATTCAGAATCGTGACTTTCGAGAAGCTCGCACGGTGAAAAATCATTTCGCCGTTGCGACAGAATACAACTGGCGAATTAAACAATCGATTTAGCGAATTCATAATCGGTGCGGAAGTAGTTTTGTTCCTGGAGAAAGAAACATGCTTCCGAATGAATTCGCCCTTATACACTATACTAAATCCAACGAAACCTTTTTCTCCGTTCGGATTCAGTAAAATAAACCGACGAATGGGTAATTGGCGCATCTAACAAATTGTCCAAATATCAACTAACAGATTTTGCCGCAACGGCATAAAATTTGCCGCGCCGGCGAATTATTTTTCTCCGTGCTTGTCCCTCGACGAAAAAAAAAAAAATCGCGTTGAAGAGTCCTCGGGATCGATACAACACATACCCCGTCAGGATCAAACGCGGCCCGTGTGTTCGTCCCGCGGTTTTAGATTTAATCCTCGGCTTTATTGCGAGTCGGAGTCGGAATTCCGCGGATTATGAAGATTCCGTTGTACGCGGTTGTCTGTGTGCGTGTGCCACTTTGCAATGAATATTTAATACATTACGTCGGGGCACACAGCACTCGCTATTTAACTAAGCGTTACCTTTGGCTCAGTCAAACACGACCGAATTTCGCGCACATCACATTCGACTATGCGCACTGTGCGGCATAAGTAATATTCTATCTGACGAATATACGCGCGTAAGTGGAGAGGCCGGTTCCGGGCTAATATTCAACACGGTATACGCATAATACTCTGTGTCCACGCCCGAAGGAAGTGTATTTCCGGTTACGCGGCCGCAGTATCGGTCCACCGTTCGCGGACGTTCCGCCGACATAAATGGAAAAGTGCCAGTGATAAAAGAGTCGTGTCTTCCGTGCGCGCACGCGCGCGCTTACAATAGATATTCGCATTGGAATTCCGCAAAGCGATCGGAACGAATCGACGCGATTCTACGGTTACAGATTTTTTCCGCCCAATTTCGAGTCGATTCGCCCTCGACGGAGATACCGTTATCGGTGTGCTTCTCGTGCGATCAATCGTTGAAAATAAAAAGAAACTCCTCGCGAACCGAGCGCTGATATTCAATTTTGGGACGGACTCTGTCTCGGGCGGAATTTTAATTTGAAACTTCATCGATAGGATCGATGCGGCAGCGTAGCATTTGAAAAAGTTGCGACGAACGACGATCCTCCTGAACGTTCGCGTTCTCCGAAAGATCGGTTTCGAGTTCGCGAGACCAAGACGTTCATCGTCGTGAATACTTGGCACATCCATTTTGGAGCGTCCGTGCTTGGTAAATATGAACTGGATGCCGCCGCAGAAAACTTCTGTTGCTTGGATTCCTCCTCTTCCCGATATGCAGCGATACGCTTCTGAACACGCATTTCGAGTCTTATTGAAAAATTCCGCGAAAGCTTTGAGGCCGCTCGCGAAGTTGAATGGAACAATGACGTAGAAATTTTGCAATAAAGCGCGCAGGACACACGATTTTAATCGGGTGGGTCGGGCAGAGAGAAAGAGAGAGAGAAAGAGAGAGGGAGGGTAGAAGTTCTCAGCAGCAGTGTGTGCACGCGGCCATGTACCTATGCAAATCTCCGCGTTTCAACCTTAACTTACAATGAGGAAAGTTGCAAAATATGCTTCTGTGTGTACGCTCCGCTGCCCGCGAAGTAGCTTTAACGCGATTCCCCGATACCGCGACCCTTTGTCGCTTCTCATTTAAATATGCGAACTAAACTGCGATCAGCGAAATCCTCCGCCGTGTATTCACGGCGAGTTTCAAAGGCAACGTTATCGAGAATCTGCACTGCGTTTACGTGCGACGGTGAGCCGCGAGACGTAATCATTTCAACCTACGGCCGTTCCGATCGGCGGATTCTCTCTTGCCTTTTGCTCGACTTTCGACAGCCACTCGGTATCTTTCTTGTAGACTATGAAGTGCGGTTGGATCCGTCCCGAAAAATTAGCGGAATTGCGATGAATAAGATTTTTTTTTTTTTTTTTTTACGAAAATATGAGAATTGTTAAGAAACGAATTCTTCTATTGGACACGAGATGTGTTTTGAAACGTATAAAAACAATGAATTATGACTGCTCCTACAATGGTAAATCAAAGGAAGAATTTATGGGCCTCGAGAAGTGAAACTTCTTAGATATTAACATTTAGTTGTATTTAGGTATTAATATTGCCAATATTAACATATATTTTCAGCAGGATATAATGCTTGAGTGTGTATTACAGTACGTGACTGACAATATTAACATCTAACAGTACTAAAAAATCCGTATTTTGCTCCTTAAGGCTCATAAATTATTTCTTGGAAAGAAAAAGTGTCGCAACCTTTCTGTAACTGACCACATACGTATCGCGTCGTTCCTCTGTTCGCAGTCGTGGTACGATTACAAGTTGAAATGGGATCCAAAGGAGTACGGTGGGGTGGAGATGCTGCACGTGCCATCGGATCACATATGGAGGCCCGATATAGTTTTATACAACAAGTAAGGCAACAACCGACCAGGTTTACCGTTTTGTCTTTGTGCGTATATCTGTGTGTGAATGTTGAAGCGCGTACCGCGCGGCGGGTTCTCGCGAATGACGGTTTACGCATTCGACAGCGCCGACGGCAATTTCGAGGTGACGCTGGCGACGAAGGCGACTTTGAACTACACGGGTAGGGTCGAGTGGAAGCCGCCGGCGATTTACAAGTCTTCCTGCGAGATCGACGTCGAATATTTTCCTTTCGACGAGCAGACGTGCGTGATGAAGTTCGGCTCGTGGACTTACGACGGCTTCCAGGTGAGAACCGCCTATCGCTATCGCTCATATCTCGAGGGATTCCCGCCTTTTTTTAGCCAGGAACAAAAATCCGATCTTCGTCCGAAGGAATTCAACGTTGGCCCGCTCGTTTACGAATAAATGAGGAAAATGATCTTTTATCCGGGAAAGTAATACACCACTCTCGAATCTGAAAGCGTGTGTAATTATTGAGTTTAGATCGTGCTTGATTCGCGGTTACTTCTGCGAACTGATAATCCGATAATGTGCAATCGAAGGGGCTTCTTTTACCTAAAAAGAAATCATCCCTTGTGTCGCTCTCGTGTCCCTTTTCGCGATGGCCGGCTCGATTCCCGAGTGACTCGAGGATCGTATTTTATCGGGGGCAGAAATGAAATTGCGAATTAATTTACGTTTCATCGCTCTGTTTGTTATTTGCGCGGCAGTACAAACACACTAGAGACCGCTTGATTTTCCGGCGTTCCGGCGAAACACAGCCGAGAGGTCTTGTTAAAGAAGGCGACCATAATTCTGAAAATAGCGATCGTGACCTCCGTGGCACGTTACGGCGCGCATTAGCGGCGCCAATCGTTAGACACCGCGCGCTGGAAGATCGTGTTGCTTGTTATCTTTTTATTTTATTGGGCGAAATGTCGCTTGTTAGAGACGAGCGTGCGACCTCGCGATCAAATATGAACGGCGACCAAACAGGAGACACCGCGCGCCGCAGTTGATAGGCGGCCGATGGGAATTATCTGACCTACATATTAAATGTTATTTAAAAACCCCTCCGGTGTTTCCGCGATATCGCATCCTCCGCCCGGGCTTTCTTACTTTATTTTCCTCGATTTCTCATTTCTCGAACGCAGTCCCCGAGTCTTTCATTTCGATCGCGCGAGTGGACTAGAGCGAGCGAGTGAATCTGTCAATCGTACGTTTCAGCAGCGTGATATCAACAATGCAATTGCAAATTTTAGTAATTTGCTGTTAAGGTCGATCTTAGACACATCGACGAGGTCCGAGGCAGCAATGTCGTCGACATCGGCGTCGATCTGTCGGAGTTTTATACTTCCGTCGAGTGGGACATACTAGAAGTCCCTGCTGTAAGGTACGCCATCATTATTTCGTAGATTCTCAACAGATCCTTAAAGATACCCGATATCTCGTATTCGACTCTCGAGAGTACAGAAATCTCCCGGCAAATTAGGATCACGGTGCTATGTAGGATTCGGCTGCATTGAAAAATGAGTTTTGGTTGGATGATAACGGACAGTTAAACGCGTTTCCAAGGAGACCGAATTTTTGATTATAGCCAAATTGGCTCGTAAAAACTTGAAATGTTGTTTCCTTTAATTAAACGCGTTTAATTGTCCAATTGTCAGGTAGATCCAGTCAAACTCATTTTTTCAGTCGTTATTTTTTAACCGAGTTTAATACATCGAGCCTTTCGTAATGATTTTTTCTTCTTCGATAGACGCAAAGGTGATATTAATAATAACTTCATTAATAAACACCGTTAATGTTGAAAAGTTCTCGGCTTTGGTTCGGGATCGTGGAAGTTCGCGAGAAATTGCATTTGACGCGACCGATATAAAGCAGCATCGTTCAAGGAATCGTGCGAATTGCAGAAACGAAAAGTTTTACACGTGTTGTGACGAGCCTTACCTCGACATCACCTTCAACATCACCATGAGACGGAAGACTCTGTTCTACACCGTCAACCTCATAATACCGTGTATGGGAATATCCTTCCTCACGGTGTTGGTATTTTACCTGCCAAGCGACAGTGGCGAAAAGGTAATTGACACACATGCCCTCTTCAATTGCCCGACTGATCTCAGGATCCTTCCCTGTTATTTTATGTTTCGTACATTACGACATATATTTCAATTATCTTGTCTTTTGTTACGATTTCTTTTCCTTCGATAAACGCAATACGATATACACGATATATGTTTTAACGATATACATTAGTTGGAAGAGACGATTGGAATTGTCAACACACAGAGTCTGTCTGTAAAATTATACATATCAGCTTTTTCGTCGACGTCTTTAAGGTAGTTGGTCCGTCAAACTATTCTCTTGAGAATCCTTTGAATCAATTTTAATTGCATATTCATAGAAATATTATTTGCACGTCTGTAAAGTCAGAAAACGATTGACAATTCATAAGCTAAAATATTCGCAACTAAAAATGACACTTTTTGTGTTCCTTTTAGTCAATGTCCTATTTTTAATGTCTATTTTTCGTTTCTTCTAAACCATATTTAGGGTTTTAATGAAAAATTACTGTGATTAAGGACTAATATAGAAACATCATACGGAAATTTCAGAATTTTTGATCATTTTGTTTGGAATATATAGCCATAGGAAATTCACAATTTACAATTAATGTCTACAATATAAATACATATGTACATATTTAAATATTTACATGCCACTTTCTATTATATGTGCATCTTTATTAGCTCAACTAATGTATAAAACATTAATAAAAAAAATTTTTTTAAATAACACCTCCGTGTTTGTAATATTGTGTATACATTTGTCTTAATTTCGCGGTCAAAATTAACATTTATTACTTTAGATAATTAAATAACGTTAGAAAAAGTGTTTTTTTTTAGTAAATAACAAACTTATGAAGGGGTTCTTTAATATCGCCATTGAAAATCAAATACCATACGGACCAACTACCTTAGGTGTCTTTGGAGTGGTTTTGCTTCGTGGGAGAGAGAGCGAGAACGAAAAATTAATCTCGCAAGGTCGAAGATTTCACGAAGTAAAATCGGAACAATGGTAGTCGCGCGCCGTCGTAATCTAATTCGCGATCGATATGTCGGATGTTTAAACGCCTCCGGAGGTTTTGCTTCTTGGCGACATAGACAGAAATTAATTTTGCAGACGCAAAGGTTTGATTCGATTAGATCAGAATAGGAACGGTACAGCTGCTCGCACGCCATTACAGTTTAATTCGCGATCGATCTTTCTGCCGATGTTGCGTCTTTAAACGCCACGTAAGACATTTGACCTCGAGCACCAATATCCACTTGCCGGCTTACATAATTCAGACATATNGGGGGGGAGGGACCGAGCGAGAGCACCTTCGACGTTCTCGCGACGTGCTCAGGATCAATGCGGAAGGACAGAAAGACAATATCCTCCTACAATCGACCTCGATGCACTCTCAAGGTGCATAAGCCGTATACATGCGGCGCGCGTGTATTTCGCCGTCGTTGCGACGGATTTGCAGCTGGAAACACGTTCCGTGTACCTTACGCGTTGCGCAACGAAAAACGACGAAAAACATTAAAAAGAATGAACAGAACGGAAATGGAATTAGCACCGTTCAACGCGTTTTCCCGCTCCCCGTCTTTAATTCAATCTTCTCGGGTAACGTTTAAAGTTACGTGCACACCTAGCGAACGAACAATGAATAGCGAGCGTGTGATGTATTCGCGTCTAAATGCGCCCGAGCTTTTTTTAAAACCATCATTGGTCATCTTACGAGCAAATCGGCCCGAAACGTTCCGATTTGTTACGACATACGGATTTTCCAAAATATAACAACGAAAGTCAGCATTCACTGTTCGTTCATTGTACGTTCCTCAGGTATGCATACGCACCTTAATGTGTTTCTGTTTCTCCCGTTCTCCCTTTCTTTTTCGGCGGGATTGTTAATTTCGTTAATTTGTCGAAAGATTTTATTTTACGAGTCTTAACCCCCTCCCCCCCCCCCTTGCGTTTCCTTCCTTGTGAACAAGGAACGATGTAGGACGTAGAAACTGTAGAAAATAATTGCGCAGTTTGTGCGTGTGTATACACGAAGGCTTCGAAATAATATATAGATCCAAGGGTCGAAGAGTAAATTCCCAGACGAAGGTCTGGGCCATCGCGTTAAATCAGTCGCTTTTTGCCCCGGGTGTATGACTTGGGTCTATATCGATGTGAGCGTATCCTGTATAAATAATGTGACTGTACCCTCGTATCAAGAAGACCCTTCTTTTTTTTTTCCGGCCATTCTACCGCAGGTCAGCCTATCCATTTCGATTTTATTGTCGCTGACTGTGTTCTTCCTCTTGCTGGCCGAGATCATCCCGCCCACGTCACTCGTGGTACCGCTCCTCGGTAAATTCGTCCTCTTCACCATGATCCTCGACACCTTCAGGTACGGTAAATAACGGTAGTTGTCGCAGACGTCGATCGTAACAAGTGCGTAAGTCGGGACGCGACGCGGCCGTTGAGCTGGCTCAGCCACTTCGCCGCGACGATCGAACGAGGCGCGCGTGGAAATTGAACGCTTCATTCCCGCGAATTTGTCGCTCCGGTCATTTTCGCCCAAGTGGCTGTGCCAGCTTGAATTTAATATTCTGCCGGCATCGTGAGGGCCTCTCAAACTCCCGTCTAGTCCTGAGAGTTTCATTACCGAGGGAAAAGAAGAATCGAGCAAGAGAGAACCGTACTTCGTGGTTATGCAAATTTTGTTGCACAAATTGCAATCGAGATGATTCGCTTTTTTATTTTTATGCTGTGACTTGGAAGAAATAAAATTATATCTCACGATTTAATCGTGATTAAAGAGATTTTTTTTCTCTTTCTCGAGCAAATACGTGACACAACACCGGGAGAAAAATGTTCGGTATTTATAACTTTGCAATTTATTGCTCGATGAAATGATTGTAGTCGGAAAAGCCATTTTTTTATAGTAAACGCTGCTACTTTTTTATTAGACTTCTTTTAGATAAGATAAGAAGCGACGATTCGCGCCGGGAATGGCTGAATCATTCGCGGTGGGATCGAGAATTGTCAGTTTCCCTCGGTGAACTAATGCGACGTAATTTTATTGGCGCATTACCCCTAGCCTCGCGTTGCGCGCACGCATGAAGGAAATAACAAGTGCCTCGCGATGCCGCGTTCTCGCGCTCTCTAGAATCGGACGAAGTTCGGCCGAGAATTCGGAAAGTTCGCGCGATTTACCGGCCGTTGATCGGCGGTTTTTACTACGGAGCGCTTGTCTGCACTTCGGTTTGTGTTCGGCTTGTATTGCAGTATATGCGTAACAGTGGTGGTCCTCAACGTTCACTTCCGTTCGCCGCAGACCCACGTGATGGCACCGTGGGTCCGACGCGTGTTCATCCACGTTCTGCCGAGACTGCTGGTAATGCGCAGGTATAATACGCCATCGCAGAGAACCGATTACGATTCCAGGCAAGATATATAGATACTCTTCCGGCATTTGGCCCGGTCATTGGAATCACGCCAACGAGCATTAAAGCACTCATTAGTGTTTCCCCCCGTGCACGTGACGTTAACGTCGCGTCATACCTGCAAGCATTGGCACCCTCGTGAGTGATACCGATCATTAGCCGTGTCCTCTTGTCTCGTGTCATACAAATAAAATTTCCCGATTCTTTGTGCCGGTCGAGAGAGAGGGAGAGAAAGAGAGAGCGCGTCGTATCGATTGGCCGGCGAAACGTGTCGCTTATTTTGACCGCAGGTCTTTGAGTTCACAGGGCGATTCAAACACGTTTCAAAACACGCGTTGGACGAACGAACGAATTTCGCGAGCATGTACGGCAACAAACGCGTCTACCTCAAACAGGCGGCATGAAACCGAGTAATATACTCGTTTAAGCTTTGACGGCGGAAAGCGGATCGAGATCGAATCGTTTCTCTCGTGGCGATGCGTTCGTGTTCGGGAATTTTATTTTTTCACGTATCACGTGGCTACATCCTATTGTTCCGTGCGGAGAACTTCCGCGGAATCGCGTCATTCAATACACTAACAACGGTATTCACGTCCCGTGAAACACGTTCGCGAAAGTTGGCCGAGCTCTGGAAATTAGCAGCATGCGTAGTCGTTATGTTCTCGCGGCCACGATTTTCATGAATCTGACTTCACAACGCATTCATGTAACACTATGTCGGGCTTGAGTACGATGAATATGCAATATCAGTCTGCGGCTAGTTCTGTTTACACTTTACGGTTAGTTAGCAGAGGAAAATCGGCGGGAGAAGGCTCCGGAATTATGAATACTTGAGACAGAAACAAATAGAAAATGATTAGAGGAACTCTAAATTATGAGATCGAGAGGATGCGTGGGATGTATAAATGCTAAGGGGAAATCTGAGATGCGATATGACGCTCCTTCATAATTCTGGAGCCGATCTGATTGAAAGGAAAAGTCCGGCTTGATGACGCGCCGTGTTTTCGCAACAATACTCTTTCCATTTCAGGCCGCAGTACCAGTTAGACAGGCGTAGCATGGCCGGGCATCATGGGCATCGCGTGATGGTCCGAACATGCAACGGCCTCGAATTGCGAGACCCATCACTGTTCGTCGAGACGTCGGCCTCGGAGCTGGTCGAGTCCTCCGTACTTTTTCCTAGTGTCGATTCACGGGACGAGCTGCAACCTCGGTGTGTCCTCCTAAAATATTCTTACTGTAAACCCCCTAAGATGTGCCTTTCGCAAGGTACGAAATGCGATATTTCACTAATTACTGCGAAACTTGAAGCCTCGTACAATGTTTTATATGTGGCATCTTCACCGTATTTCTCGATATATCTCACATGCAGGATGTGACGCAAACCGTCCGTCATATACTTGTAGGTCAATGTGAACAAAGTCCTCTGCCATTTTGCAAACAACCACACAAAATGTTGAATTGTTCGTTGTTGGAAATGGCCACACATGTATAGAGGCATTTTTAATTAGTAACTCGTAAAGTTTGCGTGGTTATTTGCAAGATGGTAAGGGACTTTTTTTATTCAGAACGGCTAAATCTACAAGTATGTGACAGTTGTTGTGCCTAGCGTCAGACATCGGTACATTGAATCTTGAACATCGAGGCTTGAATCTGTCGCTAAATACAACAACCGCTGTATGTTTGTAGATTGACGAAAATTTCTGAACGAAAAAGTCCCTTGCCATTTTGCAAATGACTACGAAAATTTTTCAGTTTCTAATTAAAGAAGCTTCTATACATGGCTATTTTCAATAATCGTTCACATTCACTGAAATATACGACGGACAGGACGATTTGAGCCAGACACCCTGTATATTTCCTCGTGGGAGACACGTCACGTGTATTCTCCCGTCGAAATTGTGTTTTACATATTTTATGGATTGGACGTGCAATGTTTGTCGTATCCGTGTGGATGAAGCCGAATCAATCTCATAGATCCTTTCGACGCAATTGCGCACACGCATCTGAACGAGAACATTTCGTGGGAAGCTTCATTGACGCGAGATTTTTATTCGAAGCCGTTTCTTTCCCCCCTTTTTTCGCAAACACTGTCCGCTGCTTCTCCGTCCGTTCTCCTCGGTCTTCAGGGCGCCTCTTTAACCCCTCCCGGCGTGTTATCTCATTTTGCAACTTTGCATATCGTCTGTTCAGGGAGTTGGGAGCGGTAAATCTGGGGAGCACGTGCCAGATCCACGGTTCGCCCGCGGCGACGGCTACCGCGCCGCCGCCGCAGCTCCCGACAGAGGAGAGCGTTGACGCTCTCTGCAACACGCTTCATCATTGGCATCACTGCCCAGAACTGTACAAGGCCATCGAAGGCATCCGCTTCATTGCCGATCATACGAAGAGGGAAGAGGATTCTACTAGAGTAATTATAACTACGAAAACTGTCCGCGTGAAGGATCCCGGAAGAACCCCGATGTTTCTTAAAGACAACTTCGCGCTCACACACTTTTGCCAAATTTTCACCACGCATCATTTGAATCGGCGAGTCGCCGCTTTCCGTCGGTGCTTTAGATGAACTCTCGACTAATGAGCTTCGAGCGGCAGTAAATTTCTAATATTTCCACGGCACACGCTAGATATTTATATCAACTCTGAAGTTACAAATCAAGGAAAAATAGAATGGATCTTTAAGAGTCTAATCTTAGCTGTTGTAGCGATGCAATATTTAACAAAATTTCTTAAAATAATCAGCAAATTCTTTTTAATGTTACATCTCTGCAACCGAGCCGCGATTAGGCTCTCAGGCCGGTATTCATAGTCGAATCTTATATTTAAGACCGTCTTGAGTTCATTTTCAGACGCTGTATGGCTGATTTAATTAGCCACGAAATACCTGAAGATGAACCTGAGGCGATTTTCAATATAAGATAAGATATAAGATTTAAATATAAATATAAGATTCGATCATGAGCATCGCTCTTAAAGACCCTATTCTATCTTGGTCTCCACGCACGTTTTTCTCACCGACGGCAACTCTCGGTCGGCCGCAGGTCAAAGAGGACTGGAAATACGTCGCGATGGTGCTCGACAGACTATTCCTCTGGATCTTCACACTAGCCGTGGTCGTCGGCACGGCTGGGATTATACTGCAAGCGCCGACCCTGTACGACGATCGCATCCCCATCGACGTACGGCTCTCCGAGATCGCCTCCACCACTGCCAAGCCACACATCGTCACGAGCCTCTGAGGGACAATTACTAATTACGTTATTGCCGCGCGCGCGCGTAAACACATTAACGACACATACGAACACGCGACCTACACGCCGACATAAGCGACAAGCGATTACGTACTAACGTCCGAAAGACTGAAGCCTCGCTGAGTCTTCGACCTTTGCGCGAATGTGGGAGCCGTGCGTGCGCGGCTCGCACGGCCGCTGCCGAACGGAGAATTCTTATTGTTGAGACAATACCGCCACGATATCACCGCTGCGCGATGCAGCGGAACGTCACACCGCTAATCGATCCTCGCTGGGAGAAGGACCGGCGGCGAATCGATCGTAGAGAATGCATAAGGGAGGGCCTTTGAAACCTTTGTGAGGCCGGTATCTGTATTTTATTTTCGCGATATATATTTCCTCCGGTATCTTTGATTAAATCTTCTTCTTCCTTCGGCTGATCTTCAGAGAGTGAGGGGGAGAGAGAGAGAGAGCTCAAGCCGTCTCCCTCGACGCGCTATTCGACGGAAATTTCACAAAGTTATTTCTCCGCTACTTGAATTTTTACAAACTTCCCTCCGGGGAGAGGAGGTCCTGCATCCTGATATTAAAATCAGCTTGATCGCGATTTATTTGGCGCAATCGCGATTTGGCTTTGAGAGCGTCGTTGAATTCCTTTCCGATCGCGTTGTTGTTCATAAAAAGAAGTGCGTGCTCTCGCAAAGAAATGTTAAATTAATTAGGATCTAAGGAGCGGGCAGGTGAGAAAGGGAGAGGAGAAAGCGTGACCACATCACGGACCACAATCATATTCGTGCGTTGGCTTTTGTCGTCTTGCTAAGAATTCTCGAACTACAGCGGGAGATGAGCTTTCCGCGCAAACGTATAGGAGGAAGTAAAAAGGAAGGAGTATCACGATGAAAAAAAAAATTAATACGTTTCAACCACTTGCACGTTGATCGCGTTTGATTCCGTGTAGCACGTGAAAGGAGTAAGAAGAAGTAAGAAGAAGTTCATAACGTATAGGTAATACAATAATCCGATGAGCGCAAGATGGATCTTCTTATTTCTCGAATTAAATAGGAGAGGAATTAGAAATTACGCACGTAGACGGATATGGGATTTTTTCGCGTTTTGTGTGTAGGTTCTATTTTTTTTTTAATATATATTCGAGACATATTAATAAATTGCGATAAAATTTGTTATACGTTGCTCATGTTATACGGTATGTTTTAAAATTATAGAGACTTGACTGGCTGGTAGATATCACAGAGAAACGACACACACACACCCACACACACACACACATATGTATATGTATATTTAAAAAATTAGACCAATTTCCAAAAATATCAGAGAGGAAAAGCTAACACCTTACAATATTATACAAGACAGACTGACTTTCGCTTCAATCCGAAGACAATCGATATTCTCTATCAAGATAATCTAACGTTACTGAATCTTATTTCGAAGAAAAACAACTACACGTCTATCGCAGACGTGACGTCTCAATTTTCCAACGAGTACTCTTCAGTCGTCTGCAATGCGGCCGTCGTAGAGTCGTAAACAGGATCCGCTTGAAGCTGCGAACACTTTACGAACGCTTGAAGAAAGAATACGATTGGTCTATGAGGCGCTTCGAAGCATTTGCAGCGTGAAGCGAGTTCTACCGTACGATTCTCCTGCGAGCGTATTGTCGACGACGCCTTCCAAGTCTCTACGACTCCAAGAAGCGAAAACATCGACTATCGTATCGACCGCTGCGTTCTCGATCGGCTCGGCGCTGCGGTAACGCCGGTGTCAATGACGCTCCGCCGACGCGTCAATTACGCTTCGCGAAAACGCGAACACGTCCCCACGTTCCGTCACACACGCATTCCATCACGTACGTGTTACGTAAGAATGGAATTCGGCCTTGCCCCCACTCCCGAGCCATGTCAGCTGGCCGCTCGACCACGTGGTCGTTCATTCCGCTGCGGCGCGGCCAGTACCTCGCGCGCATGCGCGCGTTTAAAGTGCGGTGTTCATTCAGCGGCCGGCATTTTTTCCCGAGGGTCGTAATTCGCGAACAAATCGAACGTAGAAACGTAAAGCAGCTTCCTCGGCGAACGTCCGCGCTGTTCTTTTAAGGTACGTACATGCGCACCTTTACGCGAGAGATAACTGCGAGCACACGTCCTGATAGATTTAAGTCCGAAAACTGCCCCCCCCCACCCCCCTCGCGCATGCGACACCCATCCTCTCTCGTTCGCGCGAAGAACGTGTTTATCTCTGGCCGATTTTATCAGCCGGTCAAGTCTTCGTCTGTAATCCCGAATAAGCATCCTTCGTACTTCGAGTGTTAATCCACTTAATAGTTTCGGAAATTGGAATTGTTCGGGTTAAGTGGTATCTCGTTATATTTATCGCGCGTGTTGAATACACGACGGACTCGGCACCACACCGGCGATCGTGCGATTAGATTCGAGCAATAAGAAGAGCTCGCTTATCATCACCGGGTTTCAGATGCGGCCTGTTTCGCGACTAGGGAAAATATAATGAAGTTTAATAAAGGAAATGAATATATAGTAAGTAATGGGAGGACGAAACACGTATATACTATAGAATTAATTCAGAAAGATCTTAACAGTGCGATTTCGTGCCAGTTGCATTCCGTAGCTCTCCCCCTGGCAGATTAATTAGACGATAATGTTTATTAACAACGTTACCTTATCCCCGTCTGCATGTCAAGGAACATAAAATCCCC